TTCAGAAGTCACAGTTGGGTAGCAGTAAGTGTATTATTGTAATTGCTCGTATCAGAATTGCTGTTTGCAGTGCTGGGGATCCAACCATAACGGTGCAGGAAGGGCTACTGAGCCGAGTCTCAGCACTGCAAACTTAGTTTTAAAAATTGTTACATTTCCCCTTGACCTCAGAAACATAGTTTAAAGGTTTTTTTCTTGTTTTCACTTTGAATGACTAACTTTTTCTACCATATTGAATAGCCATTAGCTTTTAGTCTGGAGGAATGTGGATCCAAAGATAGTCCCCATTAGATGAAAGAAAATCTATAAGAGCTGTATCTCCTGGGGCTTAGTTTTCCTAGTGGCCTAATGATCTAAAGCACAAGACTGTACCTCCATGAGAAAAAACTGTAGGCGAGTCCCTCGGCATGCAGAAATATTATTTAGAGAAATGTGTACAGCATACAGATAACTTTAACTTTTGTGCTGAACAACTATTAATCAAATACTCTGATTCAGGGAATTCATTTTATGAAATCTTTTGTTGTTGTTGTTGTTGTTTTGAGACAGGGTTTCTTTGTGTAACACTGGCTGTCCTGGAACTCACTGTGTAGACCAGGCTGGCCTTGAAAAAGATCTTGTCTGCCAGTGCCTCCTGAGTGCTGGGATTAAAGGCGTGTGCCACCACTGCCCTGCTAAATTTTTAAGTTTTAAAATCACTTACCAAAATTATAAACCTTATATATTTTGTGTATCTTTAAATTAGAGTTTGCTGAAATAATTAGACATATTATATTTAAAGCACCATTTTAAAAAAGATTTTCTTCAAAGAAAGAGTATAAAAATGACTTACATTGGTGATGGCTGCAAATCTCTGTGAACATACCAAACCCTCATAAATTATACAAAAATTAATTGAGTGACACGTGAATTATGTCTCAATATATCTGTTTTCATTACACAAAATGTGTTATTAGGGCAAAACTATATAATTTCAATTTGTAGTAATAATTAAAGGAATTATTAGCATTAACAAACATTTAAAGATTTAGAAATACAAAATTATGAATGGCTTAAAATAATTTGTGTTCTTATTCAGTAGTAATATGTTTATTACAGAAACTTCAGAAACCATAAGTAAGATTATTTAAAAATGCGTGAGGTGTTTAATAGCCCAGCCATATATTTATCCCCAAATCTTCGTAGTATCTGTTTTCTTTGTGTCCATCCTGTGCTTTGCTAACTCTTATTACTAGTAAATCATTTTTTGTGACTAATTTAGGGAACTAGTCAAGTGTAAATACCTTTTTGCAATAGTATTTTACTAGAAGCATTTGCTTTTCCTCTCCTGGATCATGAGAGGTATACATTAAGGCGAGTAGTAACTGAAAAGAAATACCATAAAGATATGTGGTAGATGGGATATAATTTTAAAAATTTGCTTTCAAGCATTTTTGGATTTAAAATGAAAAGTAAAATTTTTGAAAGTATTGACACATGAGTTCTTGGGTCAGTAGAATATTTTTCCCTTTTAAAAGACTCTTATTATAATATGTAGCATTAACTTTTTAACAGCTCAAATTGTTCACAACACCATTTAAAGATAAGTTCAGTATCAGGCTTTGAGTTTTCTTTTCTTTTCTTTCTTTCCTTCTCTTTTTTTGTAAATATTAAGACCTGAGTACAAAACGAGGGCTGTATTGTGGATTAAGTGAAGTATCTCAAGGCTGTGCCGTTCTGATAACTGAACCCGGAGTGACCTTTCTCAGACACAATTACAGAGCTGTATGTTTTTCCTTTAATTTCATCAGGGGTTTAATTAGTATACAAATAAAACTTCCCTTATCTTCCTTTCTACCTAATTGGCTTGTCTTCGCTTATATATGAAGTATGTGAGAGTGGGCTGTAATTAGGGTGACCGTGTTAACCTTTTTTCCTCCAATGCACTGTTGCCTAAAGGCCTCAAGGCCTAAAAACAGCTCTTTGGATTATTGCTTTGCAATCACTCTGGCTGTCCCATAGGTTTTCTCATGAGCAGAAGGGCTTTGGGTGCTGCAGGTTCCCACTGCTTAACAGGATCTTCATTCTTTTCCCCACTAAATGTTTATTGATTATCTCGCTGTTCCAGGCTCAGCCTCCAACAACTTAATATCAGGTGACAGTCAGGAGAGTTCTCCAAGTAATTAGAGTTGAGCATTGGGGGAACAATTAGGAGCAGAGTTATTAAACTTGATTTATCCTATTCTCTCCTGAACAGTTTCTTGGATATCAGAACATCACACTTTCACAATCTACCCTGGTTGAGAAATTAGTGGCTAACCTGCTGCTTATCACTGCTGCCTTGCTGCCCAGAGGCACACCCTCTTGGTTCCAGTCATTCAGCTGGAAATATTAGAGTCCATAAAATTTATTGTGGGTTTTAATTAGGAAATCTGAACAAGAGAAGAGAAAAGCACAACTTAAAAATTCACAAGTAGGGTGTGTATTTTACATGTGAGATAGATTTATATGCAAGTATATAGTATATATAAAATTAGTTTTCTTTAACTGAACCTCAGAATTTTTAAAAGGATCACAATTTTTGATCAGAAAGGTTAAGAAGACATTTTTGATCCACTTTTTATAATTTTGTCTTTTATACACATTTGCTTGAACTTTAGGGCCCATTGATATTTATACATTCCTTGGTTAGGTCCCCCAACTCTTTAAAACAAGAATTCTATGCCTAAAAGTAAAACAACAGTGTTCTATTTAAAAAAAACTTTTATGTTTTTATTTTCACATGCAAGGATCTCTGTAACTTTGTGTTTCTTTTCCATACCTTTATATGCTTTAGAGGGGTCTGATGGCCTGTCATAACTCTTCAGAGATGAACTGGAAAGCACAGCCAGGAGACAGTTGGTATATAAAGCACTGATGCTGGGTTCTGTCTTCTGTCAGTGTATAACATAGATTGCTGAACAGACCATTGTGTTTGAAAATGAAGCAAATGGATGAGCTCAGATTGGACAAGCCAGGCTGGAAACAGTATGTTAAAGCCCAGACAGCCAGCCCCTTCACAAGTGGGCACTCCAGTCTTAGGACTTACTGAGCAAGGCAATTTTAATGGATTAGCAAACATTTATCATTTCCTTTGGAAGAAGAGTTAAAGCTTTATGCTAACTGGTGGTAGAAAAGTGGCCTTTTTTAATTGCTTGGGATAGATCAGAAATACTAAGTTTAAACCAAATAGCTTTTGTTTTTTAAACAAAGAATCTCTTGATAGTTCAATGCCTTTAAGTATCTTAACAAAATTACTAGAATTGGAATGTTTTTTTAAAATCTGTTCTTTGTTGTCTTTAAACATTGTTTGAATATTTCCTTGGCAGAACATTCTTTTTCAAATTTTTAAGATAAATTAATTTTTTAACATCAAAAATAAAGACACAGCTTCTATAGTAATATATAATGTTTCAATACATTTATACATTATGTAATGCTTAAATCAGATCAAACACATCTGTCTTCCAAGTACTTATCATTTCTTTGTAGGGAAAAAATATTCAACTCACTTTTTAGCTTTTAAAAATATATGCTATATTGCTTTTACTTATGGTCACCTTCCTGCACAGTAGCCCACTGGAACTTCTATGTAACCATCATGCAGTACCCATTGATCAACTTTGGGGTGTTCTTAAAGGTCCATTAATATTAAAGTTTGAAAATAAATTTAAGTATCTAATACATAACCATTGTTGCTTTTTACTTATGTTTTGATGCTTGTATGTGAAGTTATTGATTGACTGAAAGTAAATTACTGAATTTAAAAGCTTGCAGCATTTTTAAACACCTGATTTGACTGGATTGCTTTAAATTTCTTGTCATTTGGGGTGAATTGCTTTAGCTCACATAAGTGGCTTAGATTTATAATATCTTTGTGACTACATTAAGAAGAGAGTTTCAGACATGAAACTGAATGTATCACTTCTTCATGGGAGTTGTGAAACACAGCTGTGGATATTCATGTGTGGCTAAACTAGTAAAAGGAATAAAGCAGAAGTGTGTGCAGTCAGTTGTTTGGCTGGCTGGTCAACCAATTTAATTGTAAAATCTGTTCAATAAGCTTATTTTAGAAATTTTAGAAGGCAAAGGATGAACAGATTTTTGGTGATCAGGGGATCCTTTGATTCCTATACCATTTTACAATCTAGAATTTTAAATGTGGTCTAGAAAATACTCCTTAAAATTGTTTCTGATTCTAATACTTTCTCCATCAACCCTTTAAAAAAGCTGTGCAATTGCATGCTGGAATTCCTGTGCTAAGTTGATGTTTAAAGAACTCCGAATCCACAGTTTGTAATTTCTGTGATTAGGAAACATTTGTAAACCCTAAATCATTATGAACGCCTGTATTGAGTGTCTCGTTAGTTAGAACATGCTGATCATACTTATGTAGTTGTCCTTGATGTGGAAGTTATTTGTTAGGAAGCAAATAAAAATTACTTCTGAGTCCTATTTGTCTACTGAAATGTGTAGAACAATCTGTCACAGACAGAGTTATAAAAACATGAGCCTACCGTTTATAAAAAAAAAATGAGCCCACCATTTCCTCTGGTTCCCTTCCTTCACCCATGCACTCCTGGGGGAATCTGAAAGCTCTTAGTTATGTCAAGAGTTAAATAGAATCTAGCCATCATGTGCTTTGTCCCATCAATTCTTTACTTTTCATCATTAAAAGCAAGCATTTATGGCTTCAGATTTCTATAATAAGAAATTTTTAGTAATAATATGGTTTGTTTGTTTTACTTTGCACAATAAAATAGAGTTGCATTTTGTAGCCAAATATTTCTCAGAACAGTGTAGTTCTCATGTCTGATTAGCAGGTATGTAAAATTTTGCAGAAAATTTGTTAAACCTTGCTGTGTAATGACCCAGCTCTCCTTCTCAGTCAGGCTGTGTTCTTCTCTGTCTAATAGCCTATGGCATAAATTGAAGTTAATTATCAGGACTGACAAGTAGCTCTGTTTTCTGTCTGCTCGCAGAGTCTCTCCGAGGCAAAGATGGAGCTGAGAAGGAAAGATCAATCTCTACGTCAGCTCAATAGACATCTTACCCAGCTGGAGCAGGACAAGCGTCGACTGGAGGAGAACATCCATGATGCCGAGAGTGCCCTCCGCATGGCAGCCAAGTGAGCGTCTGGACCGTGGGGAGATCACTTAAAACAGACAAAAGATCAATTCTTGCTTTCATGCTCTGGGTTTTAGCCCTGGATAATACAGTGCTAGAAAGCAAAAGTGCAGCTGTCTGTCTTTGAAATTCTCTGATATACCCTCAAAAAGAAAACTCTTAACACACTAAGTGTATATTTTATAGAGAAGCCTCAGAAAGCATAAGCTTCTGTTGTATAGCCTCAAATTATGCGTATTTGGTGCTCAGTGTTGGTATTACACGTTTGCAACCACATTTTCATTAATGTGGAACGTAAGATTGTTTATTTAAAAGTTTCACATAGGTATGTTATTTGTTTCTATTATTTATTCTTTATCACCTTCTGCTCCACTGACTCCACCCCTGATTTTGCTTTGTAGAGTCTACTGATATTAAAAGTAATATTTCCATGAGGAGATGTTGATATACAGTCAACACGTGCATCATAGCCTTAAAATGCAGCTAAAACAGGTTGATCATGGGAATCCATTTAAGCTTATATATGTACATGCTATAGTATGTTTAATAGAAAAATACCATTTCAATGTGGACAGCTGTGTAAATGTAGAGAATGTTTTATCCCATTACCATGTAACAAGTGGACATACATACACTTTGAAGTTCAACAGTTCTCTTAAGCTTTTTATTGTTCCCTATAACAAGGTTTGTGAACTAATTTAAGACAGGCTATTGTTCAACATCATAATGAAAAGAATTAAAGAAACATGTGATTCTAATTGCTTCACTGCTCTGTTTGGAGTTTTTAATTCATGAAAATGAAAAAACATTAATTAAATTTTTTGAGACAGACTCCTGTTAGATACAAACTGTGAATTGTGACTATACTCTATAAACTGCAGGGATAAGCCTGTAAATCATGGAGTAGGCATCTGCAGTCTTAGAACAGCAGTCACTATTGCTTCTGGGTTGATGACATCATCTATGCAAGACGAGACAATGAATTCCAAAGTACAAATATTGGCTTGCTTGGATAAACACCAATAGTTTTTTTTTAATTGTGCAGTTATATAACATTGCAGCTCCATATTAAATGTATATGGCTTTTATTTCTAAAAATATAAGTTTGGCTAACTTAGATTTTTTGCCATCTTCTCTGTCTCCTCGCATTGAGTGAAGAAAGACAAGGCGGTTAACCCTGAGTCTCACAGTACACTGGGGTTCTTGGGTGTGTGGGGACAGGGTTGTAAAACCTCTGGATTTCTGTTGTGTTTTTACAGTGCTGCGCTTAACTCAGGATTCAGGTGTCTATGGCTTGTTTCCATGGGCATGATATGTTATACAACTAAAGGAGACTGATTAAAACCTGGGATGTCACTATATCATTTACATTTCCCATTCCTACATTGCTATTAAAATCTAGTCTTTAGCATTTTCACTCAGAGTTTGATTTCATGATGAAAGCTGAATTAAATACACAGGCTAAGAAGTGAACTTGTAACTGCACAAGTGTTGTTGGTCACAGAGGATTGAATTTCATTGTGGCTGCATGAAGAGACTGCAAAGATAGGCGGTATTATTATTATTATTATTATTATTATTATTATTATTATTATTTTTGTTTTTTTGAGACAGGGTTTCTCTGTGTAGTTTTGGTGCCTGTCCTGGATCTCGCTCTGTAGACCAGGCTGGCCTTGAACTCACAGAGATCCGTCTGGCTCTGCCTTCCAAGTGCTGGTATTAAAGGCGTGTAGCTAGATGGTAGTATTTTACACAGCATCACCACTTACAGTATTTTGCTACCAATATGATTTAAAGAATGTCTTATTTTTTCAGAAAATTTTAAATTGTGAATAATGAATAATGTAATCATGGTTTCTTTATCTTTTCCATTCTTTTAACTTTTGATTTTTTTCCCCGCAGTTTAGGACAAGTGAGCACAAGAATTAAGTGTATATGTATCAGTGGCTATGGTTATGTTTTACACTTTTTTCACATGTGTTTGGTGTGTGTGTGTGTGTGTGTGTGTGTGTGTGTGTGTTGTGTATGACGGCCATAAGTTGACATTGAATCTCTTTTGTGATTGGCCCCGACTCTATTTGTTGAAACAAAGTTCTCACAGAGCTTGGAGCTCACCAGTTTCATGCTAGCCAATTTGCTCTGGGAGACTGTGTTTGCCTTGTGAAGACTGGGATTATAGCCTGGCTGCCATGGCTTCCCATTGTGTTCTGGGGATCTGGACCCTGTCACATTTGCCAGTAAGCACTTCATTCAACAGGCCACCTCCCCAGCATCAAGTGCTATGCTTTTAAAGGGAGATCAAAGACAGTTAGGAATAGTGACTAAAATGGAAACAAATGTAAGAAGATTTGAGTTATACTCACACTTAATATTTTCTTTCTTTTTTCTAGAGACAAAGAATGTGTTGCTAATCACATGAGAACAGTAGAAAACATGCTTCATAAGGTATTACAAATTTTTAAAATCATTCAATTTCTGCTCTGATTATTCTGGTCATTTTTTTATTAAGTGCAAAGTAGTTTAATTATTTTTGACCATCTTTTAAAGTAAATTAGCAAAAACATACTTTGGAAATGACTATGTACTATATTGTCATTTGTTTTCTAGAACTCATTTTAGGTACTTGGTAAAACTATGAAAATTATGTTTTCTCCAAACTGGTCTAAATGCACTGCAGTTATTTGTGGTCTTTATTGAGTGGTCCATAGGCCACCACCATTCTCACCTGACACAATATTGGACTGTTGTCAAACAACTGTCCATGCATGTACACATGAAGAGATAGGATATATTGGCAATAGTTGTGTTCCTTAGCTAGGTAATAAGTTATTCAAATGGAAATTTCTTACTTATATGAATGTATTCTTAAAATGAAAAATCCATTTAACAACCTATTATTTTCAAAACTGATTGCTTTTATATTATAAACTATGACTTAATATGTAGTAATTAGCAGCACAAATGTGTTGCATAGTAAAAAGTTGTTAGCTATTCATTGTGTAAGCACCTTGAGTAAAATATATGTTCATTATTTCATTAAGAATTTTTTATACTTATTTGTTTATTCATGTACTTTGTGTGTGTGTGTGTGTGTGTGTGTGTGTGTGTGTGTGCGCGCGCTTTTGTCCACCAAGTCATCTTGGCAGCCCCTCATTATTTAAAAGTAATATTATTTACATATTTGTGTTATTATCTAACTGACAATATTTTGGAAATGCAGATATCTAATACTTTTAAGATATATGGAAGTAATGAATGACTAACAAGAATTTTTTTTTTTTTTTTTTTTTTTTTGGGTTTTCGAGACAGGGTTTCTCTGTGCAGCTTTGCGCCTTTCCTGGAACTCACTTGGTAGCCCAGGCTGGCCTCGAACTCACAGAGATCCGCCTGGCTCTGCCTCCCGAGTGCTGGGATTAAAGGCGTGCGCCACCACCGCCCGGCCTGACTAACAAGAATTTTAAAACCCTAAAATTAATACTTTTAAAAAATTCTTCTCTCATATATTACATCCCGACCTCCTTCTATTTCCCTTAAAAACAACAACAACAAAAACAAAACAAGGCAGGCTTTCCAGGGATATCCAAACATAGCCTAACAAGATACAGTAGGATTAGGCACAAACCCTCATATCAAGGCTGGACATGGCAACCTACAAGGAGGAAAAGGGTCCAAGAGCAGGCAAAGGAGTCAGAGACACTCCCCACTCTCATTGTTGGGAGTCCCACAAGAACACAAGCTACTCAGCCATAACATATGCAGCGGACATAGCTCAGACCCATACAGGCTCCATATTTGTCCCCTCATATAACTAATACTTTTAAAGAAATGAAATAATAGCGAACTAGCCAGGGGTGGTGGTGCACGCCTTTAACTCCAGCACTCAGGAGGTAGAGGCAGGTGGATCTCTGTGAGTTTCAGGCCAGCCTGGTCTACAGAGAGAGTGCCAGGACAGCCAGGGCTACACAGAGAAACCCTGCCTCAAAAAACAACAAGGACAACAACAAAAAACAAAAACAAAACAAAAGAAAAAATAATGAGCTAATATTTTAATACATTTTAACACTTAAAAAACACTAATCCACTGTATTCTTTGAAGTTTTGAAAATGACATTTTTAAATCACTAAAAATATTCTGGAAAAAATCTAGTAGTCTGAGTTCTATTTTCATTTAGGATTCTTTAAACCGTGGTCTCTTTCTTTCCCCAGAGAGTTTAGCCAGTAGTATAGTTTAATACTCACACCAAGTAGGTGTGTGCTTCAGATCTGAAATTTAGATTTTCAGCTAAGTGTGTCTTAGATATTATTTTTATCTGCTGTGTCTTAGGATGGAAATGTCATATGTATAACATGCCCCTTATATAGTTAGCGTTGACTTTGAAATCTAATTGTTCAGCTCTCCAGATGGAAGAGAAATGTTAGGTAGAGCCTAACTTGTCCAATTGATGTGGATTCCAGGGAAAGCCATTGTCAATGTAAAGTGCAAATATTAGACCCTGTCCTTATGAAAATGGAAAGTGTCTATTTGAATATAAGACTAAAGGTAACAGGACAACTATAGCCACACAGTTCTTCAGTTTTTTTTTTCTTTTTGTCACACAAAAGAAGAAAGTCTACAGCACTGGTCTGATGCCTCCTACTTCAGAAGCCATAGATAACTATTTTGATTTTTGGCTTTGGCTATTAATGCAGTGGTGTTTAACTTGTCAGTTACTCTTCAAACTTGAAGTAAAAAAATTTACAAAAGACTACTGATAATTAGGGATAGTTATCTTTTTTTGTGAAGTTCTGCATGAGAATGATTGGTTGGCAAGAGGGTCTTGAAGCTCTCAGAGAATTAGCCATACCTGTCCTTAGGTCACAGTGTGCCACACAGGTATTTTTCTCGTGTTTTTGGAGACTGTGTGGTATAGCTTTATTTACTGTCTTTAACACACGGCTTAAGAGTATCAGTTATTATAGAATAAAACTAACTATAAGTTGACAAAATGAATTTAAATATTACTTCTAATATAGTAAATAATTTGTTTCCATGAACATTTTTCTGCATTTTAAAATATTTTAATGATATTTGCTAATTCCTAAACTTGACACACTCCATTAAACTTTTCAGAATCTAAAACCATATTGTATAAAGCAGTTGTCTATCTACTATTTTTTAATCCCACTTGGGACTGATGCTGGTATTAAATAAGAAAAATAATGTCTTTTATTTAAAAGCACGTGCAGGGCCAGAGAGTTGGCACTTACTGCTCAAACCTGATGACCTGAGCTTATCTCCAAAACGTGGATGGAAGGAGAGAACTGAATCCCAGAAGTTGTCCTCTGACCATCACGACTGCTCCCCCTCACCAGGCAAACACACACATGTGTACATGTGCACATACACTAATAACATAGTTTTTAATTTAAAAGAAAAGAGGGAGAAGAATGTACACAGTTGGTTCTTGATACTTAGCAGTTTTGCACCTGTAGTTTTAACTAAGTACAGATTATCTCTCTTTCTCTCTCTCTCTCTCTCTCTCTCTCTCTCTCTGTGTGTGTGTGTGTGTGTGTGTGTGTGTGTGTGTGGACATGTGTCATGTGGACATGTGTGTTAGAGGTTGGTGTCAGGTGTCTTCCTCAGTCTCTGTCCACCTTATTCTTTGAAACAGGGTCTCTCACTCAGCCTGGGGCTCATTGATTCAGCTAGCCTGCCTGGCCAGTGAACTCCAGGGAACTGACTGACCTATCATCCCCACTGTTATTTTGTATGTGAACCACCAATCCTAGCTGGTAGGTGTGGTTGGTGATCTGGAACCAGGCCCCTGTGTGTGTAGAACAGACCCTTTACTAACCGGCCCCTGTGCGTGTAGAACAGACCCTTTACTACCGCACTGCTTCTCTAGCCACCCCTACTCAGATCTTGGAAAAGAAACATGCCTGTGCTAATTAAACATGTGGAGACTGGCTTTCTTCTCAAACAGCACAGATAATAAATAAATGCAATTCTATAGCATTTTCGTTGCTTTAGGTAGATACAACCTAGAGATGATTAAAAAAATGTGGGAGGACAAGAAAGACACAGGGATCGCCCAATGACAGAGAAATGGAATGAGATCTACATGAACAGCGTGGACATGAGTGGGGGTAATGAAAGGCGAGGGTCGAGGGAAAGAGAGCTTGGGGGAGCGGGAGATCCCAGCTGGATCAACAACAGAGAGGGAGAACAAGGAATAGGAGACCATGGTAAATGAAGACCACATGAGAACAGGAAGAAGCAAAGTGCTAGAGAGGCCCACAGAAATCCACAAAGATACCCACACAACAGACTGCCGGCAATGGTCGAGAGACAGCCCGAACTGACCTACTCTGGTGATGGGATGGCCAAACACCCTAATTGTTGTGCTAGAAACCTCATCCAACTACTGAGGGATCTGGATGCAGAGATCCATGACTAGGCCCTGGGTGGATCTCTGGGAGTCCAATCAAAGAGAATGAGGAGGGTTTATATGAGCGAGAATTGTTGAGACCAAGGTTGGATAAAGCACAGGGACAAATAGCCAAATGAATGGAAACACATGAACTATGAACCAATGGCTGAGGGGTCCACACTGGATCAGGCCCTCCGAATGGGTGAGACAGTTGATTGGCTTGATCTGTTTGGGAGGCATCCAGGCAGTGGGACCAGATCTTGTGCTCATTGCATGAGTTGGCTGTTTGAAACCTGGGGCCTATGCAGGATTGTTTGGCTTGGCCTGGGAGGAGGGGACTAGACCTACCTGGACTGAGTCTACCAAGTTGACCTCAGTCTGTGGGGAAGGCTTTGCCCTGGAGGAGATGGGAATGGGGGGGGGGCGTTGGGGGGAAGGTGAGGGGGACAGGAGGGGGGAGAACAAGGGAATCCGTGACCGATATGTAGAACTGAATTGTATTGCAAAATAAATTAAAATAAATTAAAAAAAAAAGTGGGAGGAAGTGAGATGGCCACTCTTTGATAGACTGTGCGATTAGCATGCATGAAGATTGAGTTCAGTACCTAGCAGCAACAAGAGAAATAACACAAAACACATGGGAAGGTGATCTAAGTTCTATACAAACACTGCATCACTCGATGGGGAATTGGTATCCTTGAAGTTTGTGTCTTGAGTAGGCCAATGTCTCATCCTGCAGCCAGTCCTTGACAGGAACAACTATTTTCCTTCCAAAGAATAATTTTGATTATTTTAAAACATATATTTATTGGGTTGGAGAGATGGCTCAGCCATTAATAGTGCTCTTTCAGAAAACCTGAGTTTGATTCCCAGCACCTACAACAGGTGGTTCACAACTGCCTGTACCTCCAGCTCCAGGGGATTCTGATGCCTCTGGCCCCTGCAAGCATGAACACTCATGTGCACATACCCACATGCAAACATATAATTAAAAATGATAAAATTAGCCGGGCGGTGGTGGCGCACGCCTTTAAT